GGTCCGGCGTAGCCATGGGTAGAACTTAGAAGTGGATTTGAAGCACTGCCAGAATGGAATGGTTCATTGAACTTAATTCTTTTTCCCACAAGGATTTTCAGTCCTTTGCTCAGACCAACTGGGCTCTACCTAAACACGAGCGGAATCGTATAAATACGACAAAAACTTCAAAAAGAAGAAGAAAAAAAAAATAATAAAAATAATAAAAATTTAAAAGAAACAGTTGTAATGAACCCAGGCTGGAAGATACTCGTCAGACGTCGAAATCCAAGACAACTCAGATCTGGACAATGTCTCCAATAATCCTGAATGTGATCTCTGATACAATGGCTCATTACCAATAGACGAAAAGAGTGGAGGGGGAATAGACAATAAGAGGGTGGAAGAGATCATCCATGACCACCAAGAGAGTAGCCCAACATTACCCGCTCCTTCTCCGGGCTTCCCCTCGCCTCCACGTCATCAAACAGTATCGGCTCCAGTAACGAGTCTGACAAGTCCTGACCACATAGGAGTGCCAGATGGCACTGTTCTCTCGTGAAGACAATGGAGACAATCAGCAGCGCACAATATCGACGTCAACCTGAGGTAAGTACCCCGTTCCTCAATCATCCTCAGATCCCAATCTCCCTCCTTGTCGCAACCAATCACCCAATGTAGACAGTGTGGCCAATGCCACATTAGAGATGGAGACAGGTGGCATGCGCCACATCAGCAATGAAGACAGCTGGCATGCGCCACGTCAGCAATGAAGACAGATGGCATGTGCCACATCAGCAAGTATGACAGGTGGCATATGCCACATCAGCAATGAAGACAGGTGGCATGCGCCACATCAGCAAGGCAGGCGCTCAGAAAAGAAGGCGCCAGCATGTTGCCACAGTCCCACGTCGTCGTCCACAGTGCCAGCGTCCAGCCAGCGTCAAGCCAGCGTCAAGGCAGCATAGCAAGACTGAATGCTTACCTCCTGGAAGCAGCGGCTTGTGTAACCTCTGACCACGTTGACTTGCTTCAGGTCGTCCCCCCCACGTTGGCTCAGATTGACGCACAGCCGAGGGCCTGGATTGCATACAGTTGTGTTACGATCCTGGCCAATTTCAAAGTATACATTCATCAGAAAGTACAATGCTGTCCAATTTCAAAAAGAAATGAATTAGCTTGAGAGGAGAGAATAAGAAGAAGAAAGAAAGAAGAAGAAGAAAGAAAGAAGAAGAAGAAAGAAAGAAGAAGAAGAAAGAAAGAAGAAGAAGATGATGTACTCCAGCATAGACCAAAGATAAAGCTCTTCTTCTTCGCCAGCCAATCTCCTCTTCCTTATCTCCTCCCCTCTTATTCAAACAAGAAATAACAATAATAATGTTGAATGGCTGAACCAGAATCAATGTCTGAATCCCTCTTCTACTGCAGGCACAACATGAGGTCCACCATAGCCATGGCCACCCTTCCTCTTTCGCTTCATGTAGGCCGAGGCTATGGCGGAGTACTGAGGGCTCTACCCTCCTGTCCAAAGGACAACCCAAAGCAGCTATGTCGCTGCCCTCCTGTCCCAAGGTCAACACCAGGCAGCTATGCCGCTGCCAATTCAGCCGCCATGCCTGACTCTGTCCCGGCCTTCCTTGATGTGGCACTACCCCAACTGGGGCCTTCCAGATCCAGCGCCTAACAAGGTGATGAAGATGGTGTCCACCATAGCCAGGTAGGTACCTCGCTACTCTCCTCCTTGGTCCTCTTCTCCCTCCTCCTCCTACCGGTAGAGCTCCACCATACCCAAGGTGGAAGCTCCCGGGCTTCTTCCTCCCAGCAGCGCTGTAGTAGCCAGCGCTCCTCCAGCCAGCGCTCCAGCAGCGTGTCGCCAAACTTGCACACTGAAGAATGAGGCTGGGCTCTTCGCTCAGCCTCAAGATATAGCGGGGCCTCAGGCGGTTGTCTTTGGCCAACTGTCGCCCGCTCGTAGGGGTCTTTTCTCCCCTTTGGCCTGAGACCAAGTGGTGGCCTGGCAAGGCCCTTAGACATTCAACGAGGCATACTGCATGGGTTATTGCACAATCTCACCCACCACCTTTTCATATCTCCACCACCTTTTTCTTTTTTTTTTCTTTTTTTAAGGGTTGCTGCTGGGCAACATTACATCGGTTCTGTGTGAACCGATAAAGAATGACAAAAGAAAAAAAACTTGTCCAGTTTATTGTTCTGCACAACATAGTTTTTTCTCAGATTTTTTTTTTCCTTCTTTTTTGTGGCAGGGACCTTCTCTGGTCCTTGTCTGGCTCGGAGGCCCGTGCAAACCAAGGTGGCCCGGGTGGCCCCGTTGGTAATGCAGTGAGCAACCCAAGATGTTTTGGCTTACGTTTCAAATTTTGGACCCTTTTTAAAGGGTACAAAACTACTACGAATACTAGGAAATGAAGAGGACCCTCAGTAGGTGGCAATTCTAGTGGGTCAAGATTTCGGTCCTCGGTCAAGTCATAGCCAAAAGGCCGCGTGGCCATTTCGGGCTGGCTGTACCGGGTACAATGGAACAAATCCGGTGGGGAAAACATCCCTAGTTAGGTTTTGATGCTTGAAACTGTATAGAATAATTTAAGTGTACTCCATGGTAACCCCGGACCCGGACACTGGACACTTCCGGACTGTCTTCTGGACCAGTGTCTGGACTGGTCCGGACTGTCCGGTGATCCGGGCATCACCGGGCACCGGACAGTCTGGACTGGTCCCCGGGGTGCAAAAATGTCCGGATCCAAAAAAAAAAAAAAAAAAAGGGAGGAAAAAAAAAAAAAAAAAAAGGGCGGTGGGGCGGGTTGGGTGGGGTTGTAGTTCAGGCAGCAGAGCACGTGTCTTGCAGCGAATCAACCAGCACATTTAACTACCAGACATGCAGAGTTGCAAACAGTGCAAAGCAGGCACAAGACTAAAGAAACAGAGAATTGTTTTTGAAAAAAGTATGATTAACTTTGGACTTTGAACTTTGGATTTAGTAATTTAAGTTTATAACTTCATATATAACTTAAAAGTTCGAACTTTGCAGTTCAATTCAGA